TCCTTGAGACAAAAGATAATCTGACAAGGTGTCATGCCCTTCTCAGCTCCCTTGAATTTCAGATCCGAGTCAAGGGATACTTGCGTTGTGTACTCATAAACGTGGGCTTGGACCTCCTTCTGATTGACCACATTCTTGGCAATGCCCTCCTGGTAGACACCCAGGGCCGCGAGAGCATTGAGCGTCCGGGGATGGACCTTCTTGCGTCCGTCTGCGATGATGCACACGACGATCTTCTTCCATCCATCCTTACCCCATGTTCGGGACTTGGAGCGTGAACAGAAATGGCTGATGTTCCGCATGACACCGTGCATGGTGCGAGTGAAGCCAATCTCATCTTCGTTGTACATGGTGATGCAAATGAAGAGTTCGGTCTCCCGCATAGTCGTGCCAATCTGTTGACGGAGTTTATATCCTCGCTGTATGTAGTCGTCTGGGTCGCAAGTCACAGCGGTGTACCGCATGTGCGTGAATTCGCGGTCGTCACGCCGGGGCAGGAAACTGTGCAGGATTGTCGGGATTTTACACTCCAGAATGAGTTCTCCGTTGATGAGCTGCACTTCCTTCTTCGACATCTGGGCTTCTCGGACACCGCGGCGGCTCTGCTTCTCCGGGGGTGGGCCGTAATGCAAGTTCGGATCGACCAGTTCTCCGCGTTCGTCGTATTCATCGTCCAAGTCAATCTTCGCCATTCCATCCTTATCGTCCGTGATAATCGTCGATTCGCTCATGAACGACTGCAGGCTGGCGCGGTTGTCAAATTGGGGGTCGGTACTGCGGCCGCCACCACCACCGCCAAAAACATCCTCGTCTGAGTTGCCAATGGGAATACTCGCGTCATAGCCGGCGGGGGGCGCAAACAGTGGCGCTGGGGGAAGCGGACGTCTGGGACTGCCCCCATATCTCGAACTCGGGGTTCCCGGCCTAGGGCTGCCGTTGAGGTCAGCACGCTCATAATGCGAGCTGACCACGGACGGAGGTGCCGGTGGTCCGCTCCAGTTGGGTGCACGGGATGGGGACCAAGGGCGCGTAGGCGAGCCGGGGCGAGACGCATAGTGCGGTAAATCGGCTGCGGATGCTACCGGTGGGGGGATGGTAGGCGCGTGTCGAAGGCTCGATGTAGGTCTCGACGGGGAGTCTTCCGGATCATATTGATATTGGCTCTGAGCATATTGCTCTTGCTGTTCCGCTCTGCGATTCCTGTTAACAGTTCGCCTCATATAGAACATTTCAAAAAGCATCTTGACGGATGTTTCTAGCGGTTGCTGGGCCCGCTAAGTGAGCTTCGCAAGGGGCAGTTGAAACGGACAGAGATCCCACAAAGGCGTGGACATTGCGCGTTTATACCACAAGTACAAATTGCGAAAAACGTTTGGTCTTCTTCAGTCCAGGACCTTGAGCTTGTTCCGAACGCAAGTTATGATTGGGTGGAGGGTGCAAACAAGGGGGGGGCTCAAGTATGGTGGTAGTATACGGGGATAGCAGAAAAGCTCCGCCAGCATGCCGAAGAATCATAAAAAATTGACAAATTTGGGGATGAACTCAAATCAAAGTGAGCTTACCCTGCGTCATAAGTGAATGAATCACCATAGTGATACTCTGAGGTCATGCCAGTGCCTCCACTCAGATCACTGTCCACCGCCGAGCTCGTGGGGAGCAGTCGCATTGTAGCTCCATGGAGACGTGACGCCGCGGGCGAAGAGTCGAGATAAGAGCCATCTCCATACGATCCGTAGGCCGGTGGCTCTTCCTCCTGGCTCCGTGCCGGTATATAGCGCTGCGACATCGTGATACTCCGTCCCACACGTTCAATTATTCATAGTATCTATCCACCAGCCAATTGCAGCGATACGGCCTATCCTCGGGGTTGTCTTGTCTAATGCACGTGCCCAATGTGATGGGTCCTCGGGTCTATCGTTCTAGGAAGTCGGAGCACGATTCTGCCTATTCGGCTGCTATAGAAGATGGCATACAAATTAGCCTCGTCTTCTCCCATCCATCTCGGCAAGCAGCCGGAGAACAATAGACAGAGCACTCACAGTAAGTAACAGCCAATAGGTTTAGCTGGTTACCGAGCACACAGTCCCCAGTATGCTTTGGGAAATTATCAGGAATGCGTCTGACAAGATCGTGCGATCAAAGTATGTGGAAACCCTCGGATGGAGTGTTGAATAGGAGGGAGACGCACAACGGTGTAAACAACGATCCCACGGTCTTCAGAAAATCATTTCTTCAACACCGACCCACGGCAGCAAGCAAACAAGACCATAACGTGTCAGCCGTGTGCTCCTCCTCTTAAGAGACCGGGCAAGGTCATGGGCGCCTAAACCCAGTCGCGATCCGGGCGCTACGACCGGCACACCGTGGAGAAGGTGGTTGTCACCAGGGCAACCAGAGAGCTTGGGGAAACGGGCGGGGCGACAATCCTTGCAGCTTAGAAACATATTGGCTGGTACCGTAGACTTAGTAGGAATCTTTAGGAACCTGTAAGGCTTCTTCTGTACATGGAGTTAAATTCAACCTTAAAAGGGATGTAATTGTGTCATTTACTTTTATGTTCCTGTCGTTCCGGCGCTCGTACAAACAATGGAAACCAAGCCGCACGGGCTCTTGGTTCCTCAGGCACGCGGTGGAGCACATAATCTTAAAACCCAATGACCCAACCGTCAAACAGTGTTTCCGAAGGATATCGAAATTCCTCAGCAATTATCATTACCGAATCACTTTCAATTTGAGACTAAAGAGAGGATACAGTGGGGACAGATCGACCGAACCGAGTCAAACTCACCCAGCGGACCCATGGAAAAAGAAACGCCATGCTACAACTGCTAAGAAATGTACATGGGAGGGAAGATCCACTAGAGAAACAATAGACATCTGACCATAGTCAACATTACAACACCCGACCCCATCATGAATCACATCCGTTTAAGGGGACCACAAAAGTGGCGTAGAAGTGGAAGAGAAACACCATCTGCGCGAAACATCTCTTTTTTTTCGATGACAACTCCATTTTGACCACGGCCAGCACTATAGGCCAGCGAGTGTTCCTGGTGACATTGGAACACAGGTGGACAGCACCTATATTCAGGCCGTGGGCTCGTTAAGGAGAGGCTCTCTTTCACGGTCAGTGGTACCGGACTCTCCAGTTCTACGGAGCAGCACATTGCGGCCAGTGTACTTGGTCATGGAGATGTAGAGGGATTCCACGAAGAAGATGGCGAAAATAACGATGGCGAAGATCCACTGCAACGAGATCACCTTGACACCAACTTGCTTGACCGCAAGTGCTGTAAACCATGGATTAGCATGGTTATCGCGTCTGGACCAGGCGGTTATGTATCACTTACCAAGCGTCAGCAGACTCAAACTATAACCAAGGAGGTCATCCTGCGCAACGAGGATATGACCGGATCCCACGGCGAACAGCACCCAGATGAAGATGTTTGCGACGATCCTAGCGGGCAGGCTGTTGCTGTTGACAGCAACGGCTCCGTTCCAGAAGAGCGCGATGAGGGTCCAGGCGAAAGGAGCCGCGACAGCGGACAGGTGAGCAAGCGGGCTCAGGGTGCGGTGGCGCCAGTACGTCGCATGTTGGTTGATGAAGTGCGCAATCAGGATAATTTCCGCTCCCCAGAAATGGCTGCGGGTCCACAGAAGAATCCAGGCAAAGGTGAACAGGTTGTTGAGAATGAAGTGGGTTCCCACGTTCGCTGCGCCGGTAACCAGCACAGCATCCCTCGAAAAGAGATGATAGACGTAGCCGACCTGAGAGATAAGAAGGATGACCCTGAAGGAACATAAGGTGTTAATAGAAAGTCAGCTGCCGACGCCGGGGTGGAAACTCACCAGTAGATGCGTGTGATGATAGTACTCAAGCTGAAGGCAGTGATATGCTTGTTGGCTTGCTTCCAAATAGAATGGCCATGCTTCACATCATCGGGCGAGTTGGAGGAATAGTAGATGCCGACAATCAACACCAGCAACCAGGACAAAGGAACGAGAATGCGGTAGGCAGTCAAGGTCGACCGGCTATGGGACTCATGTCTGGCGAATGGATTATCTGGATTGGGTCCAAAGTAGTCAGTAATGGTACCTATGCATAGCCAAGTACAGCGAGGAAGGTCAAGTACTACTCACAAGGAGCCATGTTGAATTACAGAATGATCGATATAGTACAGACGGATGAGGAGGAACAGGAGTCGAGACCTGAAGGAGTACAGAAGGGGGATGAGAAGAGGAATAATAAGTGAAAGAGAAGAACAATTACTTGGGAACGGTCGTCATCCCGTCATCGTCACGGCGGCTGCACCCCGCATTGCCTGATCTTCTGACCTGACAGGACAGGCCAACAACAGCCACCAAATACTATTTTCAATGAACTGTTCCCCTGCCCACACACAACGCTGATCGAGTTCCTCCTTATTGGAATTGAATTTCCTCTACTTCACCGCTGCTACGAGACCACTTCAACTGCGCCTACTGCTTCTTGTTGTTAAGCCGGAGGAGGGAAATGTATGCATTCGGTGATGACATCATCCGGTCTGGACTCTCAACTTCTCTCTCATTCTCTGACACTCACTCAGCTAAGTAAAATTTAGGAAGAGACGGTACTATAGCCAGAACCCTGTTTTCACTCTCCCCACCCCTTCAGCCAACATCCACTGGAGAACTCGCTAGGCTGCTCTTTTCACCACTCTCTCTCAAAGAGCTGATCGACGTCTCCACGCTGTCGATCGGTGCACGGTCCTGTAAGCGCCTGCAGCTGGACTGCTTGAGGGTTTCCTTCCAACCAATGCCACTTTTTCAAGCTGGCTTCACCGGTTGCCTCCTTCATTGGCACGTCATCTTGCATTTCAGCCCACCCGCAATGCACGTGGACTTGCCAACAGACTGCTCTGGATAACCTCTGTCTGGGGTGTATGATTGTATACCACCGAGAGCATCTAGATAATCACCACTTGTGTCTTCCCTTAGTCCCCTTCGAATGCTAAAGATATGAGTCTGCCATGAGCAGCAATCGGAAGAGGTTCCACGGTGCTGTCTCACAATTCACTCCCTGCGATTCTGGCCACTAAGCAACCTTGCCTTGTCTTACATGATCTGTTGCACAGCGTCCACAAACCGTTGGTGGATAGACGAAGGCGCAACAATCATCCCGTGACATCCCGCCAAAGTGCGCCCGAGGCTGCAGTCAACTGGACGACCAGCAAGGTCGCTGACAATGCAGCCAACCTCTTCGACAATCAACATCCCGCCCGCATGGTCCCAGATCTTTGACCGATAAGAAGCCTTGCGTGGGATCTTCATGGAAGCATTGCACCCTCCAACCGCAACCGCGATGTATCGCAACTGGGTCGCCCAGAGGTCTGTCTTAGGCGGCCAAGGGGCGCCCAGGTGAGATGCAAGGCGGGCATGTACGTTGATATCCGATGATCCACCCGCACAATCGACAAAGACAAGGTCCTTGGGGTCTGTGATAGCAGGTTTAGGCTCGAGCTTGTGGGCAGGGAGGAGAACGCCCGTGTCCATCTTTCTCATGTACGCGCCGTGACCAGCAACGGCGAATACCTGATGCCCATAACCTTCTCGATCTACTATATCCTCGTGGATGTATCCCTTCTCCAGATTCATATTTGGGCAGCCCAGAACACCAACCTTCTGGCGTCCATTTTCCAGCAGACACAGGCAGACGGCGTACTGCTGACCTTGAATGAAGGTCGCCGTCCCATCCACTGGATCCAACACCCAGGCACGATTCTGCGAGCCGCATGTACCCTGGGCCCCCAAATCGATGATATCCAACATTTCCTCCTTTGTCTTGGGAGTATAGAGCTGCGCATCGCTTTCCTCGTCGGTCAATCGAGTAGAAGCGACCAGCTCCCACGTTCGCTCGAGGAGGGCGGGGTCGGATCGCAGGGCACTCGCGCTTTCCTCACCAACAAACACGTCATTGGGGAAGGCATGATGAATAGCGGCGATGATTAATGCTTGGGCAGCAAAGTCGGCGATGGTGACAGGGGTAGAATCACTCTTGTCGAACGACCCTTTGTCGACAGCTTCGAGTAGCTTTTTGGTCGCTAGAGTAGCTCTCTGCACTGTCAGACAGGCCAATTGCAGTTCTTTCGAGTAGGGAATGGAGGCGTCCATGATGAGGTAGCGTGTAGTGTGCGTTTCGAAAGGGTGAGCTTTTCAGGGGCTGCAAGAAGGTATAGAGAGCGTCGCCAACAGGCTGGTGCAGGAATTGATTTGTATCTGAAACCACTTGAGTCCGATCGAAGAAAGGAAAGAACGTCGAGCAATAACGGTGAGAGAGGGGGGGGGATCGCGACCGCCTCGTACTCAGGTGCACGCAGGGACTGAAACCCGGTGTGGGGTCTTGTTCGTCGGAGAGGGGCGCCCGGTGACGTAGAGCAAAATGGTTATCGTGAGCTGGGAAACCTTGGGAGGCAAGCAAGAAGTGATGGAATAGCAGGAGAAAGAGGGAATTTATCTTGCCTGCAAGAAGAAGGGCTCGGAGGCGAGAAAAGGAATTATGACTCCGACGAAAACGGAGTGGGAATTTTGAAGGATTAATGATTTCTTCTGCACTGCAAGCCAAGTCAATGATCGCCTGGCCTGGCGGAGAGGACTACTCTTCTCCTTTGGGTTAGCAACCCGGGTCTGCTTCGGGTTTGGTGGAAAATCCGTCTGCAGTGCTAGCCAGCAGTCGTTCTTGTTCTTATCTTATCGTACCTCAACAGCCATACTCTCCCGCGCGCGGAACGTGAAGAAGACTGATGAATTTATGCTGGGTTAGAAATGATGGCTACGAGTAAGTCAATGGAGTGACATGGTTAAAACTTGTCTTAACCAAGAACCGAATCAAGGACTGATATCATTCGAGGTTTATAGCCAGTTCAAGTTACGCAAAGATGGTCACAATACAAGTCACTTTAGCAACATGGGATTCAACGCAACAAATCAAAGAATCTAGCTTTCAGATACCATCATCTATATCTGCCAACAAGTGAATATGGGTACCATCTTGAATGGTATCAGAGCGGAGCAAAAGCCAGTTCGTAGGCAAAGCCTACGGTCAACCTCGCATGCTCCAGCATGTGATCGAAACTCAGATACTTGACTCGATCATCGGTGGTATGAATCTTCTTGTTGCTGTTCTCCATCTCAGACTCAGTTGCCATTGCAGAAGGGAACCCATACTTGCTCGCCGATGTGTGGTCAGAACAAGCATAGCCGCACTTGGTCTCGATATGTCCGATCTTGCAGTACTGCTCAATGGCATGTTAGCGACCGCTCCAATGTCTGTGGCGAGGTGCTTCAGCCTTACTTACCTCTTTAATGACATCCTTCAGGAATTGCGTCAGCCCCCGATCGACGTAGTCGACCATGATTCCGATAGCTTCCTTGCGGCCCGCATCAAACGACCCCTGAATGTATCCGGTCATATCCTGCTGGAGCATGGCCTTGACATCCCGCTTATCCTTCTTGTACTGGGAGAAAATAGCCTGGGAGCCTAGCATACCACCTTCCTCCGCCGAGTACCAGTGAAACTCCACTGTGTTTGGGGCTTTACCTTGGGCAACGGTGTCTGACTGCAGCAGACCCCGCAAGCCTTCAAGAATCGTAACGGTACCACTTCCATCATCATCCGCACCAGGCGCCGCCAGAATCGACGGGAGGAACAGATTGATGCTGTCCTGATGAGCACCCAATACAACGGTCTTGTTTGTCTGCCCTGGAACTCGAGCGATGATACTGAATTGACCCCAGGGGTGGGAAAACTGTTCCACGGTCGCGCCATGCTTTGAGGCACCCGTCTCCTTGATCACATCAAGGACCTGGTTGTAAAGCCACGTCGCTGACTCGACGCCGATCGCTGACCGATAGTAACGAGTATGGAACGAAGTGAAATGTTCCAGATTCTTCTCCATGTTATCCTTGGATAGATTGCGGAGGAGTGGGGCAACCTCTTCCGAGTGTTCCATCTGCACCGGGTAGTGGACATAGCTGCCGGCGTTCAGTGTGGGGTAGAAGCCAGTGTTTCGCTCAGCGGTGATATCGATGAAGTTTACACCATCCTAGACCGAGCGTCGAGGAGAGCGGTTAGTGATCGGAAAGCATAAGGGAGTGGGCGGGACATTTGTGTAATAGGTCTCAAGCGGATTGTCTTACCAATTTTAGATCCCATTTCTCTTCCTCTGTCACCCATCTTGTCTCATAAGGAGCAAGCTCGATCAAATAAAGTTCTTGCCCGTGGTGACCGCTGTGTTCTGTTAATGGTTCTTGCTGCGGTAGCACAGCCCCCAATACGGCTGTGGAAGCTGTCACGCCTAGCGCAAGGGTTGCGGTAAGCTTCATGGCGATCTGACGGTAGATCAAAGCAAGCAGGTGCTATGATGAGGAACAATTTACGGCTGAGTGATTTGGAAGAAGGGAGTGACAGGCGATTGACGACTAATGATAAGCACGACCGTAAGGAGTCGTCGGGGATAAAGGCCACCCGAGCAGCGTTAGGATGGTGATGGGAGAGGTATTAAGGGGACAATGCAAGAAGTGAGCAGGGGTTCCGCTTAATTTCTTAAAGAACCTTTCAATCGTGCTTGAATGAAGCGGATAAATGATAGCGACGAGGTTGCAGCGGAGCAACAGAAGAGGTGGAGGTGATGGAGTAAGGTACCTTAAGTGCTCCCCTCCCGCCAAGTTGCGTCAGTGACGAACGCTGCTTAAATAAGATTGCCAGGCACAACATACACATGGGTTGGGCGAGATTACACTTGAGTTCATGTTGGTACGACTTGGCAGAACTAAGGTTTCCAGCAACCACCTGACCTTCTTCATTGATTGACTCCTACTAGCATCATGGCAGTCTAAATCATTCGCGCTCTCTAGGAGCCTACTAGGAGGATGAGAGACAGGGACCACACTAGCCGCCCAGTGGGATTGGATTTCCAAGGTATGGGTGACTTGCATTGGCACTTGGCATTTAGGCAGAGGCTAGGACTGCTTCTCATGGTGATCCGAGGCTGTGTGAGACTACTATTCAGAGAATCATGCTATTGGACTGTCAGCTTGCCATCGAAGCTTGAGCGTAACCCACCCCAGAGTCTATAACCAGTGTGCCTGGAAGATTGAGCGATACAGTGAACAACAAGTGAGATCATGTGAAGTCATCCACCTCGCTGAGTCATATATTAGGTAATGGAGCGTGACTCCAGGTCGTTCAGGTCCCAAGCATAAACCGTCAGCAGGCAATCTATAGTCTAGTCAGGAGAGGGAGAATAAGAAGAGGTTTTGGCCCATCAGACTTATGGATAGGATAGTGCTACGAGTTGTAATGGAAGCTTATCACGACCAGCATTCGAGGTGGGACTGTGGGACCTCATGGCTCTACGGACAAGCATAAGACATTACCCGATGAACGACCATTCCGGTTTTTGAAGCTGGAAGATGGCAGTTTATGCGATTTATTCTGGCCGAAAGCGTGCTGTATGATTCAGAGAATTGCACAAGATATTAAGGAAACCCTTGTCGCTCTTAGCTATATCAGAAGATCCAGTTTGATCGTTACTAAAGGCCTCAATCTTGCGGGAGACCTTCAACGCAGCCATATAATGGCACGTTCATTGCTGTTCGACTCACGCATGGCTATAATCTAAACCGTGATGGAGAGCTCGTGATTCTATCCTTCCCTCTGTATAGACAGAACTCCAATGTGCCCGACCACTTCTCTCGTTTGATTGACGTCACAATGTCGAGCATTGAGCACAATGCTGGATGTAGAGTAAGCTAAGTAGGTACCTCTATTGTCAATTCACCGATGGAGATTTGGGACGCATTAAGAGCAAACAAATAGTTTATGTCAGGGTCTCTCTGTATAACTTACTGGTTAGGGTTACTGTGCCCTGACCGTCGAGTGTGTCTTTGTACTGCAGAAATCACTCGATAAGGTTAGTGAGTACTCGGACTCATACTGAGTACAGGTAACTCAATATGTACCGTAGGTCAGGCTCCATGAACTCCACAATCCCAGCACTTCTCACCAAGGGAATCACCCACCTGAGACACCTGGGCTCTAGGCAGCATAAGATCGGTCCCGTTCTCATTTATTGAATTTGCCGTTTACATCCATTACATCACCCAGTGACTCCCAATCAGTCACTGTGAGTCATCCATGATTGCAGTCCTGCGGCCAAACCTGAAGTGGCAGGTAGGGCTAGGGTTGAACTCAATCTCCTCCAATGGCCTTCATCTGATGCTTCTCGTGTCCCATCAGAGGGAGGTCCATGGACGGATGATTGACTTCGAAAAATTCTCGGCGGCTTACCTACCCATAGTATTTTACCGTACGGAACTCAATTGCTCGCCCCCCCCCCCCCCGGACGCGGACGCGACCGGGAACCGCAGTTGTCGGTTATCTATCTCTCTTATCTTGCTTGTCCTTCCCCTTCGCCTCCCCACTCTCTCTTCTCCCCTCTCCCCCTTGACGCTTACTCGTTCGTCCTTCTACCTACTGTCGCTGCTGCATTACCTTCCTCGGTGTTGGTCAGTCTAGCAGATATCATCCGCCTAAGGCTGCGACGCCATTCGTGTGCTGAGCCTTCCGCCATCTGCTCTACGTCCATCGTACCATTTTCGGCCGCTCTCGCGATCTGATTGAACCGCGTTGCGCTCCCGCGATGGCGATTCACCCCGGTTTCCCGTCTGAGGCAGACCCAAGAGGCAACCTGTCGCCACAGCAGGCCCGAGCCATCTCGATTTGGACAGAACAGGCTGCCGTCTCTCTGGAAAATTTGACCATCTCGGAGCCGGTCTCGTCCAGCGATCGAGTTGTCTCGTTGTCGCAATCTACACCGACGCGGACATCGTTTCGCGGGACCACGGTATCTCTGTCGATTCCTTTGGATGACCCAGCACCGAGAACAGAAAGTGCGTCTGCGGCTCGCGTCAAGCTTCTCGGTCAACCCTCAAAGGATGTTCAACAGGTGGCGTCGGTCAGCTTCCGTCGTCGAGAACCCTTGCGACGCGACACTCTCAAGAGGCGCGAGGCTCTCCTGAAGGGGAAGGATGGCAGCCGTCGCAGACAACGTTGGGAAAACGGTCGGTCCCTCTTAATTGCAGCTGCATTGCTTGGACGTCCCGCGCTAGACTTCATTCGCCGCCGTCAGCTAGTGGATATATCAGATTCACTAACCGCTTCTGAATTCAGATCGTCTCCTGCACAATCCCTGGGCTGAGCCGCCCTCTTCTAAAGACTGGAATATCCAGCCGACCTACACCCGACACAACCCCATGCCATACTATCTTGCGCCCTTGTGGGATTCCCATTATGCGCAATTAGACCAAAATTCGAAGCAGGCGGGCGCTGGCACGGGGAACGAGAAACACCGCGTACCGAAGGAGCTGCGCATGAAGCTCAAGCACGCACGTGGCGCTCGCGGTATGCTCCAAGACCTGGAAGAAGACATCAGACAGTTTATCCAGCGATGGAGCGAAAAGCAGCTTCTTCTCCAGCAGGAGGGGCTGGCCGATGCTCCTCAGTCGTCCGATGAGGATGACTCTGAGGATGAGGTCGTGTTCGTGGGCCGTAATGGGCTGATGCATGATTCACCTCAACGGAAGGCGAAGTTGCAGCAGATGCGAGAAGCGATGAGCGCTCACAACGAGCGCGACGGCGAGAAGATGGTGTTCGAGAGCCCGGTCGATGATCGGGGTGCTGGGTTTGGGTAAGTTTGATGCCAACCGTCGGGAGAATCTTGCTAAGCAAACCCTTGCTAACGTGTGTCTTGAATAGCCGCTGGCTTGTCCACTCGATTGCATCTTATTATGGGTTGCACACGTGGTCGGTCACTGTGGGTGAACCAGCGCGTCGTGAGGCTTATGTTGGCTTCCGTCCGCCGGCCCCATCCACCCGTCCCGAGTTTGCACACCACACGGCCGGATTTGGAAGCTGCCGCCGCGAAGCGATGATTCAGCCTGGAGATGAACTTCCGCAACCGCTGTGGGCCCAGGTTTAAGGCCTGGTGTAGATGATTCGGGGATGGAGGCCAACGAAATGATCAGAATTCTCTAGTCGGGAGCAGTCTCTCTTAGATTTATAGCGTGGGCTTGAGCTGTACGATCTAGACTTTCCAGGTGAAGCTGCTGTAGATAGGTTGGTTTTGGGCAAAGTGTAACAACTTTTGTGATAGTCGTGTAAGTTCAAACGATTTATTCCACTTTTCGCCATCAGCAAGCGCCACGGGACGTTTGCGACCACGCCTCGCCTGATGTATACTCATTGGAGAGTTTTCGATGGTCTTAGACACCCTCGCGAGCACTCGATTCAATATGGGACATTGGACGCACATCAGCAAGACTACCCGTATCCTGAAGGAGCAGCTGTAGCAAAAGCCAAAGAAAGGGCCACGCCCAGAGATCCTCCCAAGCATTCGAATGTGTCATCAACACAGATCCTGGAATAGTTATGGCCCACTTCCCCAACTGCTGACTGACAAAAAGCAAACGGACGTCATCATTACCAGGCCTCTTCTCCATAGGACAACTTAAGTATGCCGGTGTCTTTCTCTACGAGAATGAAGGAGCCTCGGTCTGAATCCCAACTCAGCTGCCTTGGGTAGTCACGCTACCCTCGATAAATGCACCCTTGACCGAAGCTCCTCCTCTATGGGGTTTAACACTGCAGGCGAGATTTCATGAGGATGCAATGCACGTTGCACTCATTGCCCCAGCACCCCCCAGTTCCACCCAGTAGTCAGTGGAAGTGGAGCAATGTAGACTGTACGTAGACTTACAATGCAGTGCTGCTGGTAGCATCGACCACAAAGTAAGGTATCGCTCAATGGCCTGAGGGATATGTTTTCCTTCTTGACCAGACGATGACATCAGGTCACAATGCAGCGAACGGAAGGAATTGCGATGAAGCAGACTCTTGGTTAGAGGGAAGGAGGAGAGCCGTCTGGGTGGCATGACAGCTGACAGGGTGTTAAGCTTGCTTTTTTTTCCCCGGCTTACCTATGTACGCTGCTTGGGTTAGTGGTTGGAAATGGTGTAGTAAGTAAGATAGGAGGTTGGTAAGACTCGGGACTACCGAAGTCAAGCCTACCAAAGTGGTCATAGTGGGGGAAGGTTATTTCAACCGGTTGTGTACGGAGTAGACGTCTGCCTATGCAGTGTACTGTATGTCCATGCGTGACGTCAAGAAACCAGCACTATCCATGCTTACTACTTTTATCAGGTTCTTGTTCAAGAAACCAAGGGAGATGGCTAGGCACTGCTTGAATGATCTACCTAGCCTGCATCTTGTTCTCTGTTGCGCTTGTTGTCGGAGGTCGAGTTCCAGGGTTGCTGCTGGCGATGATGGCGATGATGATGATACTCGGAAAAAAGTCATCCTGATGCTACGTAAGGATACATGATGGTTGTTGGGGGAAGCTGTACTCCGTTTCTTGCTCTTTGCGGGACAGTAGCAGCAGGGCGGGGATCGGGGTCGAATGTGATCCAGACTCAAGTGTGATATTTGATGGAGGGTGGGCAAGGAAAATACGATGGCATTGTTATAGGCCAGCTTGTCGTACTTTGTGGTATGGTGCATCCTCACGAGTAGAGCGGTTTGATGCGCGGTGCAAGGGACGCGCGCTGTGCCCGATATTTCCTTGTCGGGCTCGGGTTATTGATATGATGAAACCGGGGGACTAGAGGCAACGGGGTCAAATAGTGGAGTGGTTGGACCATGAAAAGATGTCTATGTCCATTTGCTTGGGTTATTGACGTTGTTATCTGTTATCTGTCATGATAGGTAAAATAAGCAGATGGTTTCCAAGAGCAGTGGTCGGCAGCTCAGTATAATGAGGGATAATATCAGGCCATAGTCAAAACAAGCGAGGCAAGGGCATTGACCCTTTCCCCCCTACCCCCCCCGCTGGATGATTCCCCTCAGTCTCCCGAAACCAGGATGGCACTCGTATTTGAATTCCCATGCGCGAGAACCCCGTGCAACCAAGCATCCAGCTGCATTCTCCCTGAGTTGAAAAAGTCCATCATTCGATTCTGCATTCTGGGGAGTTTCCCCCAGAGATACTCACTGTACAATGACATTGTCAAAAGTGGTGCCGTTGTAGATAGTCGGGGGACAGTTCGATGCACAGGCAGTCGGTCCGATCCGGCTATTCCCCATCAGGGTTCCATGGGACCGTGGCTAACGATCGTTGGGTCATCAAGATTAGGCATTAGGCATCGATACGAAGTTAAGTATGGAATACCTGGCACTGGCATGCTATTCTTTTAGGTACGACTCTTACTCTTCCCTTCTACGGCCGTTTGCAATGCACATCTTTGCTTAAAGCCCTATTGATATCGAGGGGTGGCCTCTAATGATCACTGGCACTCGCTCGCACCCCCACTTCCTGACGAACAGGCAGGCCCCTTTGCGTGTGAAAACGGTCAAGTAGTCGCAGATTCCCTGCAGGGACAATGAACAACCTGGGCCGGCTCAGGACTTCCGTCACAACCTGATGATCCTCTAACTCCGGAGGCGACAGCGATGGTGGTCATCCGCAATCCTCCGCGTTCGCTCATCCTACAGGCCCGGAGAATATCGTAGACAGTACAGTGCACTGTAGCAGGTAAGTTAGTAGGCACTTGACCTGCGATCATCCTAGCCCGAGGGGGAGCAGCGCAGCCAGTAGCAAACTAATCGCCCATCAGTGAGATTCTAGAACGAGACGATCGCAGAGCGATCGAGGTAAGACCTCTTCCGAGAACCACGTATTGGATGAACCGAGTTGGATTGTCGTGCTTGTGAGAGAGGACGCCTTGATCCCCTCTACGAGTAGTATCCCCCCCCCTTCGCCACGGCTCAGGCGTAGAAGCCGGGCTTGGAGATGAAGGCTTGGAGGCTGTAATGGGGACACATTCTTGCTGACGAGGTGAACGTGCGCGAATTCAAAAATAACCACCACCAGAACCGGGAAAGAGAAAGAAGACTCGGATGGGCGAGGAATCCCGTACGTAAATCGGCCATAACTCCAGTTGGTTGGGGGTTACAGTCCCTGCCTGCCATACCTAGGTAGGTAAATAGTGCGTTCACTTCGATGAGGCAGAATCAGAGACAAGAGCACCCGATCAAGCCACGGGAAGGGTTGTTGTCGTTGTCGTTAATGTTGTTGTTACTCCGTTAGTTGGTTAGTTAGTGAGTTAGTTGTTTAGTTGTTGGTGTTCATCGTCACTACGGAGTACTTCCTACTGAGCCGACGTGGCTGCTTCTCCTACCTTTTCCTCTTCCCCCTCTTTTCCCAATTCATTCAATCATTGATCCATCCATTCAACTAACTTATCCGACAACACGCGCGCATCAGCACTGGGCATCTTTCCGACTCTTACCCTCTCACACGGACGGCCCTTCTCCCTCCAATCGGTCTTTCTTTGTTTTTCTGCCTTTCCTTTTCTTTTTCCCTTTTTGCTTTTTCTCTTTCCATTTTTCTTATCCAACGTGTATGCTACTCGATGAAACACTCAGTTCCGGACCTGGCGTCATCTGCTATGCTCAGTTCCATCTCTGGCCCCCCTTCCACATTTTCCTCCCCCTCCATCCCCCCCCAATGCCTTCCATGCCTTTCATGCCCCCATCATCCATTCATCCACCCATCCATTCCTTTCGTGCCCCTCGGATCGTCCTCCCAGACTTGTTTTGGGTTAGTTGGAGCCCGACTCGCACTGCTCGCCCTTTCTTTTTCTTTGTGACGGATGGAAACGAACTGAAGCGACGGCGACTGGATCAATGAACAAATTCCCCTCTTACACCCTCTCCTTTACCGCTGTGTTTATTGTTACTATTATTTCCAAGTTATTCTCTAACCTACAATCCCAAACTTTCCCTATCAGCTTTCTCCCGCCTGTCCCTTCAGCCTGCTGTCATTACCAAATGACCATTTAGTTCTACCCTGCTTGGGATACTTGCCTGCCTCATTTCGGTCTGGTAAGCCCTGCGCAAACGAGAGTCGGGTTCACTGGACGTGCGGCTGGAAGTCAAACAATCTCGAACCACGAGATCGATTCCGGCTGTGGTGTGAGTATACATACAGGCTCTGCCTCGCTAGTCTTTCGAGTTTTCCTTCTGCATACCCAGCAAATCCTCCCTAGACTACCCCGTGATTGGGAGTTTCAGTGTCACAGCCGAGCTATAATCTGGTTCTGACTCGGGCATCGAAGCGCGACCAGCGTTGTCCGGCTGAAACACAAAAAAAAACAGATACCCAAGAGGCACTACTACTATTACTATACGCCCCGTACTCCCACCGCTACCCCCTGCACATACATTCATTCAGCCGGTTCCTTTGCTCTATCCTTTACGACCCTATCCTAGCCGATCATCCTAATATTACTCTACTAGCGTCACCATGGGTTCCTACAGTACATCCTCCTGTCAGCGAGGTCCAAAGTCCGGCGGAAGTTCAAGTTCGACCAACAGTGATGCCTCGGACCGTTCGAAAAGCACGGCCCCTACGATCTACAGCGATCGACCCACTCCTATGACGGGGGTAACGATGGCTTTTGATGGGGAGGAAGACCCCAAGGCCTCGGTTACGACCTACACGTCCACCAATCCCTCCGTGGATGATCTTCCCGAACCGCCGCGCTACCAAGTAACCGACCGTAAAATGGACATCTTCTCCCCGGATGTCATCCCGTCAAATCCGTCCACTTTTGGACAATTGTTCCCCTCGTCACGACGGCTTCTGGTCCGACATGACGATGCGACGCTGGATGGCAACATGAACCTGCGGGTCGACACCATGGTTCCGCAACGTGGAGGGTACCAACAAGACGTCACCTTGTTTCATCTCCGCATGTATGATCTGTTTTCGCGAAAATTCTCATTCCGTCGCTACAGTCGCGATTCGGGACGAGAAGTGTGCCATTCGGAAAGGAGGCCGGTGCCTGGGTCCGACCGGCATGCAGTCTTTCGAAAGTCGTGGAGCAGCGTGTTGGCCAGCTTGCGGCCGGGGTCGAGTGGGCATGGATCTGTACCCGTTGCGGAACATAGGCGCCAGGACTCAGGATACAAGTTAGCGGATGACAACGAGGAAGAGTGGGCGGACCAACAGTTAGAGACCAAGACTGGGATGGATCGCCATCAGTCCGTACTCACCGAGAGCACATTGTTGGAGTTTTCCAACTATGCTCATGTAGAGCTGAGACGACGAGGTGCTGGGCAATCGAAGCGATATGAGTTTGAGTATTGGTCCACGAGATACCAATGGAGACGGGAGTGCCGGAGGGAGGGCGACCTGCGGGAGTCGTCGTACCATCTGATCAACCTGCGCACCTCCAAGCCAGTCGCCCATATCGTACCCGAAATCCTCGCTCCCATGGAAGCCGTTGAGGAGGAGCGCAAGGGCGGATGGGTTCCTCCGTCCTCCATGTGGATCAGCGATCCGTCCGTGTACGAGAAGATGCCTGACGTTGCCGAGTAAGGATCCCTCCTGGTCCTCTGCCGTGTTTGAGTTTGAGGCTGACTAGTGCACAGTGTGATTGTTGCCACCGGGCTGGTGGCACTAGTAGACGATTGTATTCGTCGGAAATGGCATTCGAAAAAGCATTCGCAACTCATTCATCCCGTGCGATCAACGTTGTCGAAGAGCATCGAGCTCATGGGTCCCAGGCGGTTCCTTGATGAGGTGTTCCATCGACGGGGATCCGCCTGAGCTAATGCCTGGGACGAGTTGGACAGTGATATGACGTGGTGATCCTTCATTCGGATATTCGCGTCGGCTTCTCCCCCTCAATGAATCTAAGGAACTTAATGAAAGAACCCTGGCCATGGCGTCCTCTTGCCTGGCCTCAAGGTCATCGTCTTGCATATTGGTGGCCTGACCAGGTGCTTTTGTCAATGAAGACATGGATGCGTTGGGCGATAATCGGAACCCCAGTCCGGCCTGATGTCTATCTGTCTATCTATCTAGGGTATAATGAGGTGTAACAGGAACCGGAGGGTCACACATGCATGAATGCATTTTATATTGCTAGTGTCTAGCCTGTATGTAGAAAATCGGTTGGTTCATAGTTCTCAGCCTCGCCTGACTAGGCTGATAGCTATTTTTCGACTAAGACTATTTTGGGGATAATCTGAGTGTATCTAGTGGACTGACGCTTACGCGAGTCACATTTGGATGATGCATGTACCACGAACCTATGGGAAAAGAAAGAAAGTCAATTTGAGCAAGCTGTCACTCGCTTTCTGAGGGGAAGTGGAGAGCATGGAACTATCATGGATGAATTTCTGCCTGACTTGTTTTCTACCCCGGTCTGGACCAAAATTAGCCGTGCAGGTGAAGGAACTGTGTGGTGGAGTTGCCTGCGTCAAAACTGTTGGCTTCCCGGTGTTCCATTAAGGGAGGGGAGGGGGATGGGGGTGTGGAGAGGAGGAGGATTGCGCCCAAATCTATCCTATCCCTCTGTCCCTGAAAACCCTGGTCTGTACTGTACAATGAGGTTGGAAATTTCGGAGAAGCTTCTGAAAGGAAAGAAAACATTACTCTACTGAGTAGCAGCAAGATTGCCTGAGGCCGTTGCGGGGCCAGTCGAGGTTTGTTTCCATGGATTGATTGATTGTTTTGTCGCCGGGCCTCGGAAGCGTACCAGTCTTTCTTGGTTTCTCTCCTTCCTTTCCCCCCTCTTCATCTCTTCCTCTCCATTCTTTTCTCTCCATTTAGCGCTGGCTGGCTGGCTGGCTAGCTAGCGAGCTAGCTATCAATCGTCTTACTACTTACTTTCTCGCCTAGCCTAATGGTTCGTCGCTTTCTTGCTGGCTTGTGCAGGTTCTTTTCCCATTGTCATTATGGCATGCTTTCGTACAGGCCGATCTACTTGTCATGTTGCAGATTGAAAGAGACACCTACCTCTCTTTAGCTTCATGGTTCTAATTCTAAAACAGCCGCATGGGCCAGACTTCAAAAAAACAAAAACAAAAATCTTGAATCACAATCAGAAATGACCTGAAAATGCGACAAGGGCCGAATGAAAGCACACGTATGAATGCCCAACTAACGCGCCAGAAAGAAAGCAACGAATCATACTGGCGTTGCTTGTGAAAATTGGTCTGGGTCTAGTAGACCCCGATGCTCTTCCCTCTTCGCTGGCATCTGATTTCTCCTGCAGATACAGACAATAATTTTTCTTCGTTCCCCGGGACTTCGAGCCAGCTGCGGTTGGCTCACACTGATTCTGACTTGACTCTTGATTCTCTCTCGGCTGCAATCCCTGTCACCCGTGAAGGTTTACTTACCGCGCGATAGTCACAGCATGCGAGCAAGCCCTGGTCACCCTAGCGTCTGCAGCTTCCGGCTTTCCCCCCAGGGATGAGCTCATGCAGAGCGGCCCGGTCTGTAACCGTTTGATTCTAGGGCTGAGGGGAAGGCAACGACTGGATGGAATCGGGGCTACGCTTTCGGTCCGAATTGAATGAAATCATTAAATCGTTGATGAGCTGGCAGCAGGCTCCGAGGGCCCGCTTCGAATTAGCTGAGTGGTCCAATGGAGGTTTACCTCAATCCGACATCTGGCTTCCATTCGTCCTTCGACCGTCCTATGGGGCTTCCCTCCGCTTTTGGGCAACTAGACCAGGCCGGCCTCCACCAGTGTATTCCTTCCAGAAGGGACGGGGGTCCCTGTCCTGAAGAGCTTCTATGAGGCGAAGTGGCTTGTTCATACCCGATATTCTCCCATGCCCTTGCGGAAGCGGAGGAGAGGAGGATATGCGAGAAGAAAGAGCGAGCAAGCGAGTGAATGCGCAAGCGCAACAGCACCAGCATGCCCCCCCTCCCCCTAGCAGCGGGAGTAGAGCCGCGAGCCACGACGTCGATAGGGGTTGGTGGTCTTTCTTGCGGACTTGCTGAGTTGGCCAACAAACTGGCTGCGAACTGACATACTTGCCTTGTACAACATGCCGTCTTTGTCTCTGATTACAATTGCTGGCCAGTCGATGCATCGGGCTTGGGTGGGGGCTAGCGGCCATCCTTCCTGGTCTCTGGCGTTTCTTCAAAGGGCACACTCTCAGTCGTCGTGCGGCGGGCCGTTCCAGCTTGCAGCCTCAGAATGATCCGCAGGTTCTCCATGCTACTTGACGTGCCTTGAGTGGAGGGTAATGGAGGGGGGGAACTTGCTGACGCCGTGCCATGTTTACCTGCCCTACATGCATAAGCCCGTTTGTTAGGTTTGATGATTAGGTGCCGTGTTTGACACGCCGAAACTGTCTTGCACAGAAACTCCCCTCTGGGGCTTTTAGGGATGGCCCACAGTTTATATGACTCCCCGCTTCCCATATCCCTCGAGGACTGTCCCGATGGTTTTTAGAAAATAAAAAGAAGTCTCCGAAACTCACTGCAAAAACCACCTGGAAGGGGCCACCGCAGAAATTTCTTATTGCTTATAATATTCGTTTGGTTTCTCCATTATCACTATCTGGGGTGTTGAAGACCCCACCGTCAATTGAGTTCGTGGGTCGAATCTCCTGGCCGTTTCGTGCTTGTCAAGCAGGACAAGACCCTACCTAACCCGATTAATTTAATTATCCTGTCGGTTGCGCTTTGCATTTAGGCCCGACCCAACATCCAGCATTGAACCGGGACGACTGCTGGCTTTTGTTAGGTAGTCCGGAGAGTGAGAGAGAAGAAATTGCTCCGCCTCAACGCAGCCCAGAAACCAAGCCCACTGTGGTTTGTGCCTGTCACTCCGTCCCGCCAGCAAGGGAAAAAAAACCCGCCGCCAGCCATTGACTGACGAGACTCTTCACAATGTCCGGTGCCCATGCTTTGTATCCGGACACTACGCCATCCCAGGGGAAAACATGGCAAGCGAGACTGGAGGGTATGCCCCACTTTACTGCAATCCCTCAGGAGTTACGTCGATTGCCTTTTGATCCGATCAACTAACCCTGGTCCCTCTGCAACCAGATCACTGCAAGGAGAGCGGTGTCCCTGGCCCGAATTTCGTGATTGTCTCCGATCGTCGAGGTAAGCAGACTGTCTTCCAGTTCGTCCTGACTGTCTTCAAAGACGTGCGTTTCGGCACAGAGCGAGGACGAGAAAGAGTGGAGTCGATGTTTATGCCTACCAGCCCCTCTTCCACCTCTTCACCGACTTTTGTCCTTTTGGCCGTTGGAAAGTGGTACCAATGACTGACAGTTCCGTCCATTTTATTGCAGGAGGTCGCACGGCCTGGTCCAGCTCGGTCACCGTCAAAGGCATGTTATTCAAAGCTCGGTTTTGGTACGATGGCAAGAACCTCGACAATGCCCGGGAAGACGCCGCCGAATTGGCCGTGAACTACTTCCAGGGGGGGAATCAAAATTCCAGGCCGGGAGGGTACCCTCGGGGGCCCGGTCGTTAGAAGAGGGCTTCCTGTCGTGCGTACGGGCATACTGGAAATAGGCGTATCTCGGGACGGCTTTGGGTTTCTGTGTTCATTCTCTGTCGCTACGCCCTATACGTTGGTTGTGTACGACGCGTCCCGGACCGAAGCGAATTCCTCGAATCTCGCCAACATGTACAACACGAAAACTCGGCGGACGACGATCTCTTTTCTTTTATCTCTATTTTGTGGGAAACGAAATTGTTGGGAGGGGAACAGCCCATAGGGGCGGATGGCGGATCCGGACAGCAGCATACTGTTTTACCTCTTTTTCTCCTTCTGGTGGGGGGAGAGGATGGGGGTGGGCAGCAGATTGCGGGAGAGCATTATCCTTTGTCCACGGGGTTGGGGCTGGGTTTGAAAATCGGCCGGTTTGACGATGACGTTGGCTGAATGGCATTGTGAATGGCATTGTTCTCAGGCAACGGATGGACGCATGCATCCGCCCACTTCTTTGGCTTCTTGTGTACTTTCGTTTTTCTGCCTCAATGGCTCGCCTGGACGTGCTATGGGAGACTGTGGCACGATCTCTTTATTGAATTGACGACAGCACAGCTAATTTATGATGAAGATTAATGATTTGGAATTGTCATTCTACCTGCGGCAGGGCTTTGGTGCTTTCTGGGAGGTGTGACAACAACTGGGGGAGTAGTATGGAACATATTCAAACAGAGAGGGGAGGGCAAGGCTACACGACCAGGATATGGACAGTATCAGCATGAAGAAAAGTGAGGATTCAGATGATGTAATTTGGATGTTGTTGAGGGGGAAGTCTTCTACTCCCAGAATTCAAATAATCGCCTCCAGCACCGACAAAAACAACCCAACTTTACCTTCTCCCCTGAACCCAAACCTAACCTTCAATCTGTAAAAAGATAATCCAATTTCACATTGTCCCTGGCTCCTGGTGGTGACATATGCAAATGTGCGTGCGGTGAGCCCAGCCGCACTTACCCGAAAACCTGAAGATTACCATAGAACCTCGGAGAATTTTTAATTTTTTTTTCTATTTTAATTTTCACTTACAGACTATAAGTTAGTTAAGTTGAGAGAGTCACTAAACCCAACACACGGACCATTCCTCGTGCCTTGCCTTGCCTGTCGCTCTTTCGCTCTCCATAGTGGAAGAACCACCCGAACCCAGTACCATGGTTCACTCCGCACATCATCAGATTTATTCTAACCACGCATCGTTAAACCCCGGCCCCAGCCCTTGTAGGCTGGGAAACTAAGTACTAAGTTAGTTGACTAAGTTACTTACTTACTTAGTGATCCTGGTTGAGATTTGGGACGGACGGTGGGGGGAAGGGAGGATGGATTGTAGGTTGGTCCGCGCGTCCACGTGTTCTTTTGGTGGTGGTGGGAGGGCGTGTTCAGGGGGCTGGCTTTGGGAAGTGTTTTGATTTTGTTCTCTGGGGGGGTATGAGTGGTTACTGGGTTGGAGATAGGGGTTTATGTTTAGGTGTAGGTTGTGGATTGGGGGGGTGGGGGGGGGTTTTGTTTCTTGGTTGGATTATTGCGATGCTATGGTGGGTTGACTTTGAATGTTATGGTGGTTAGGTGGGAAGGGGATGGGATGAGATCGTCTTGAGATCGGGGAGAGGGAGGGGGGTTTCGTTATTCAGGTAGAATTGTGGTGGTATCATTGTTTGCGGGATGGCAGGGATGACATTGAAGCGATGGGATTGTTTATTGTTGTATATCATGAAGGTCCTGGGCGTCCAATTGCTAGACTACACAGTAGGGGGGAGTTTCGGGGATTGGCTCGGTTGATGGCATGATGGTAGTTGTGCTCGGTTTAATTGTCTTCTTGTGGACTGTACAGTACATTCAGGTCAGTAGAGTACTCCATCGAGCAGAGACAATAGGAAGTCAGTCTTCAACACTAGATGCAGTATAGTTAGTAACTACTCCGTACTTTGTCCTCAGTGACAGCAGCAGACAGAGACACCCCCAATCGGGTAACAAAGCCCACGTGATCTCGCGGCGCGTCGCGACCGCGTCCCGCCGCCGACCACCATCTCCATAACTATACACTTTTCCTCCTACTCAAACCACCACCTCATTCCTCAACAATCAACTGCCAAAAAAACAACAGACCATCAAAATGCTACCCTCCGCCGAATCCGCCCCCACGCCTCAACCCGCCCTTAACCCCCCGTCTACCACCACCACCCCTCCCCCTCCCCCTCCCCTCAACCCACCGCACGACCCCTCCCACGAAGAGCACCAATACCTCAACCTGATCCGCACGATCCTCTCCGAAGGCGAGAACCGGCCCGACCGGACAGGCACCGGCACGCGCTCGATCTTCGCGCCGCCCCAGATGCGCTTCCGCCTGCACAAAGCCACCCCATCCGCCTCCACCACCCCGGGACAAGAACAGGAACAAGAACCCACATACACGCCCATCCTGCCCCTCCTAACCACCAAACGAGTCTTTCTGCGCGCGGTCGTGGCCGAACTCCTCTGGTTCATCTCCGGCTGCACCTCCTCCCAGCCCCTGTCGCAAGCGGGCATCAAGATCTGGGACGGCAACGGCAGCCGCGCCTTCCTGGACAGCGTGGGGCTCGCCCACCGCGCCGAGGGCGATCTAGGCCCTGTGTACGGCTTCCAATGGCGGCACTTCGGGGCGCCCTACGTCGACGCCACCACCGACTACACGGGCCAGGGCGTCGACCAGCTGGCGGAGGTGGTGCGCAAGCTGCGGGAGACGCCGTTCGACCGCCGGATCATCATGAGCGCGTGGAACCCGGCCGACATCCCCAAGATGGCGCTGCCGCCGTGTCACATGTTCGCGCAGTTCTACGTGAGCTACCCGGGGGGGATTGCGGAGGACGGCACGGGGAAGGGCAAGGGCCATCTGCACTGTTTGTTGTATCAGCGGTCGGCGGATATGGGGCTGGGGGTGCCGTTCAACATTGCGAGCTATGCGCTGTTGACGCATATGTTGGCGTTTGCGGTGGATCTTGTGCCCGGCAGTTTGACGCATACGTTGGGCGATGCGCATGTGTACTTGGATCATGTGGAGGCGTTGGAGGAGCAGCTGACCAGGGAGCCGACGGCGTTTCCGGAGGTGAGGATCTTGAGGGGGGATCGGGGGAGTGGGGTCGTGGATGGGTGGAGGGAGGAGGAGTTTGAGGTGCTGGGGTATCGGCCGCATAAGGCGATTAAGATGAAGATGAGTGTTTAGTGCTGTTCTGGGGTTTAGGTGCAGTGCAGCTGTTACTGTACAGATGGGTGCCTTAATATGATAGACAAGTATGAAAAGCAGTAAGCAGTGGTATATCGGCCCTTATGTACTCGGCATGTTAGATGCTATGCTAGATGCGATGCGATGGGATGCCCAACTCCAACTCCAACACCAAACCCAAATATCCAAAACCTCAAGAAAAAACCCCCAAAATCACAGCTAGATCGCCCCCCCCCCGAAATAAACCGAGACACCCAAACTAAAGAATCACCCCGGCCCCCCGCAACAAAACCAACGTATCCCCAGCGACCACCTTCTCGCCCAACGTATCGCCAAACTCCAAAAACACCCCGCCATCCACATGGAACACGCGCAGCCGCTCCTCCTCCCCAGCCACGCGGTTATTAACATTCTCGACCCCGAGCCTCCGCGCCGCATCATCCAGCACCCGCCCGACCTTCCACTTCCCATCGAACCAAAACGCCCCTGCTGCCCCTGCCCCCGCAGCCCCCGCCGCCGCCGCCGCAGCAGACCTAGTAGGCGCCGCCGCCGCCTCAACAGAAAGATACACCCTCCGCTCCGCAGGCACAGCCGCATCCCCCTTGGCCGTGCGCTTGAGGGCGTTGACCGCCATCGCGCGATTGACCGGCTTGCTTTTCTTGGTAGTCGTAGTCGTAGTCGTAGCCGTAGCCGTAGCCGTAGCCCCCTTATTCTTATCCCCTAGACTCTTCCCTGCATTCCCCCCACCCCCACCGCTACCCCCCGAAGCAAGCGAAGCAAAGCTGCCCCGCACCCGCGCGAACATCGACTTCAGCGTATCTTGCCCTTGCCCAGCACCCCCACCCCCCTTACCACCACTCCGGGGGAAAGGCTGGCAAGCATGCCCCTCCCGCAACCGATGCTTGAGACAATACTCCCTCCGACATTCGGGGCACCGGACGCCCGGTTCGGAGAGGGTGTGGATGAGGGTTTTGCAGGCGAGGTGGCTGCATTGGGCTGTGTTGTGGATATTTGGTTTGGTTGGGGGGGTTGAGGAGGTTGAGGCGGAGGTTGGGGTTGAGGTGGTGGTGGTGGCGCTGCTGCTGCTGCGGGCCCATTCCCCCGCGCGAGGACACTGGTGGGCGGATTCGGTGCGGTGGTCGAGGCAGAACACGCCCCTGCAGGAGGCGCAGCGGAAGGGGAGGAAGTCGAGTTGGTGGCAGTATTCCAGGTCGCAGTGGTGGCCGATGCTGTCGAGGTCGGTTTCGGGGGGTTCCCCGTTGGGGGAAGTGTTGACACTGCCGCTGCCGCTGCCGGACATTCTTTCTTTCTGTAGTGGTGTGTGTCTTTGGTTGGGATTTTTTTGCTTTGGAATGGTAGGTTATGGTTTGAGTTAAGAGTGAATGTAATGAGTGAGTAGTATAAAGGTTGGCTTTGAATGAGAGAGAAGTTATGTTTAAAAGAAGGTGGTAAGCTGGCTGAGAAATGCAATATCACGGAGTCAAGTCAAGTGGACGATGATTAATGGTCTTCTGGCGGGTGCTGGAAGATGCACAGGGACAAGTCCCTGACTCAGCGTGGCGGTGCAGCAACAATATTATCTGATGGCGGAGATTAAGACGGAGATAATACTAGCAACAAAAAAAAGTTAAGGTCAAGGGGTATAAGTTATCACACACATCAAAACACTTTACGCAGTCAGGCAGATTACAGCATGTGCCCAGTCAAACACTCAAATCATCCGTCCTCCGCTTGATGTCCTCCCTTTGCCTCCTTCTCCACCCCCGAACTACCCGCCGACGCAAACCGAATAGGCCCCCGCGACATCAACACAGGCAACCCATTTCCCATCGGCTCGGACGCCGGTGGTAGATACAGCCTCGACTGCTGCTGCCCCGGAGTCAGAGGCGGGGACATCAGCACGGCGGATTTGCCGGAATGCGTCCAACTCCCTCCTTGGGCAGAGCCCGTCCGGGAGACTGGCGACGAGACCACCGACAATGGGGACATGACTGAAGCAGGGGCTTTAGTCTCCTGCCCGTTAAGCTGCTGCTGCTGCTGCTGCTGCTGTGGTTTGATCTCCTGCTCGGTCAGCTGCGGCTTGGCCTCCGCCTCACCCAGATGTCTATCCGCCTCACTCCCCACACCTCCATCCCGACCAGCCACCTTGGCCGCAGACGCGGCAGAGCTCTTCCCTCCCACTCGCTTCGGCGATCGAGGGGGCTTGGTCGTCTTCGAAGTTACCTTGGCCCCATTCGCACGCCTGCGTTCCTCCGCGGCCCGTCGCTCGCGCGCGGCATTCTCTTCCGGGGACGGGACCTTCAATTTGATATGCAACTTGCGCACCCCGGCAGCCAGATTGTCGACATCATCGCTGGTGCTCTTGTTCTCCGCGTCCCTGCTCTCATCCTTGTTCCTGTTCTCATCCTCGCTCTCCTTGTTCTCCGGACTAGGCTGAAACTCCGGCGGCACTCGAGGCACAGGAGGTGCAGCGTACGCACCCTCACGTTGGGGCGTGCTGGAACGAGAGCCACTGGCCCTGATCGCACCAGTGGCAGCAACCGCCGCAGCCTTGGAAAGCTCTCGCGCATTGGAAGAATCGCTGCCGACCGATTCGGCCACCGCACTCTTCCTCCGCGCAGTCCGTACCACAGGTGACGTCTGCTGCCCCCGCTCCGGAGGGGCATCGATGGTCGTCCTGCGCATGCTGCGCGCTACCGGCCGTTTCGGCATTTCAGCCTGGGGGCTGGGCGGCAATGAGGGCTTGGGCTTGCGCACTCGCAGTTTCATCCGGTTGTCCTCCGGCGGTGCAGGGGGTGCGCTATTGGCGCTGGGGGTCGCGCTGCGAGCCGCCGCCGTGGCCGCCTGCCGCTCCCGGCGCAAGCGCGATGCTTCTGCGTTCAGCTCCTCCGGCCGACAGCTGGTCGTCTGCCGATACGTCGGGATCAACACTTTAAAAAGCTCGTGGGTGGAGGTCGCCCAGCCGACCGGCGGCAAGGGCGGGGGCGCCTCGGGTTCAACACTGTAATAAGAGCCTATCGACCGGCGATCGCGCGAGGGGTTCACCACCTTAGCGGTAAAGGACTGGGTGGGTTGGAAATAGGTCGGCGCCGCTTTCTCCCGGGGTTTGGCGGGCGCCAACGGCGGGTACACCAGCGCTTCCAATTCCTCAAGCATCCCCGGCGACCACCACTCGTTGTCGTAACCAGGTTGGGGTGAGACCACATCCACCGGCAGGGTGTCAGACAGGCCCAGACGATCGGTCATCTCAGATGCCAAGCGATCGATCTGCTGGTCCTCGTCGGTCTCCCTGGTCTCGCTCAGCCCCGCCAGATGGCTGAGCACGCCACTGGTCAGCGCGCGATTGCTGTAGCCGCCCTCCAGGACACTGATGACGCGCCCGTCCGTCCCCAGCCCTTCTTCGTTAGCCAGCCGCACCACATCGGCCGTGAATCTGGCGTAGAACTCGGTCGGAACGTTCACCTGATGCCGCTGCATGCCAGCCCCCTCCCACTCGCTGGCGTCAAACCCCGCCGAGAGGAAAATGGCCGCCTTGGGCGGAGGTCCATTCGCGGCGCTGGTCAGTCGCTGCGTATGTAGTCGTAGGAATGCGCGCGCTTTCTCCAACAAGATGCTATACTTGGTCGTGTACAAGTCCCAGAATTCCTGGTTGGTCTTCCACGGCTCCAGATGAACATTCCAGATCGATTGGCCGTGGGCCTTGTCGATGCACACACTCGCATTGCGCACCTTGTCCGCGTCGCCCGCCTCGCAGGGATACGAGTTGATGTCATGCAGACTGAAGTATCCCACCATGGTTTTCTTGTGCGCCGCCGCGTTCCGGGCGGCGGTGCCGGCTTTCTGGTTCTGGTCCCAGGCGATCTCCTGCGAGCCATCCCCGTGATGCAGATCGAAGTCCAGGATCGCGGCATGAGTCAGACCATGGGCCATCGCCGCATGCGCAATGCCCACGTGAACATTGTTGATCCAACAGAACCCCGATGGGTGGCCCGAGGAGCAGTGGTGACCTGGCGGGCGGATGCAGACAAAAGCTCGCTTGGTCGGGCTCGTCCCAAGGACCGCATCGACCGCCTCCGTCACGCCTCCCAGGGCGCCTTCAAATGCCGCCAGCGACTCTGCGCAGAGATAGAGGTCCCCTTCATGAAGAGCGGGCGCGTTGTTGGCGGCAGCAGCAGCAGCAGCAGCGGCACCGTCCTTGCCCGCACTGCGGGGTCGAACCAGCTCCTTGCCGTTCAGGGCCAGTCGCGACTCCGCCGCATTGCACATGCTCCTCAGCTCCTCCATCCACTGCGACCCGTGCACATGGGCGACGACGGGCGACTGCAACGACAGGGTGCGCGCGGTCCGGCGGATCTGGAAGGGCGGCACGGGCAGCTGGCGCGGATCCAGTTCGGGGTGCGGCGCGTGTCGACCGCCGGCATGCCGGCGCGCCAGGTGCACGTACGCGGCCGCGATGCCCAGCACGGTGGCTTGGATGCGCTCCGGGCGTTCGACGATGGAATTCAGGGCGGCGCGGGAGGTGCGGGGGCGCGCGAAGCGATGGCCGTAGCACGCATCGTGTAGCAGCACCAGGGTGGAGGCCTGGACATCGGTGGACTGATGCCAATTCATCTCCTTCTGCAGGAAATCGGCTGCGATCGACGCCGCCGTGGGCAGAGAGCGCTCCGGCGCGGTGGCCGCGGGCATGCTGCTGGCGGCGGCGGTCGGCGGAGATGACCCCAAGGGCGAGGAGGAGGAGCGCCGCGACGCGGTGGTCGGACGCGGAGAGGCTGAGGTGCCTCGGTTGGAGTGCAGCGACGCGGTCGATGAGCGCTTCTTCAAGCTCGGGGTGGACTTGCGGCGATCGTCCGCCAGGGAATCAGAGCTGGGGATGCGCCGAGGGGGCGGGTGCGAACGCGCGGGGGGATCGGGGGGCGATAAGCGCGACGATACACGATCGGGAGATGGTGGATGCGGAGTAGCGATGATAGAGGCATCGGTTGGGGGAGTAGCAGTAACATAAGAGGATCTAGGATAAGTAGAACTTGATGTGTTTATCGCAGTTGTTTTTGTGGTGGTGTTGGTGTTATCGGACACAGTCGCAGTGAATGACGCAGGCTCCGCATCGCGTTGTGAGGGGTCCATGACGGGCCCATTGGATGAAGTATAACACACAAACAAAGACAGAAGATGACAATCAGAATAGGTGCCCAATGTCTGACAGGGTTGTGAGACAGAGGAAGTTTATAAGAGCGACGGTAAACGAGCAGGTGAGACAAGAGAAAGGGAGGCGTTGTTGTTGTTGTTGTTGTTGCTGTTGTTGAAAGGGAGAAAGCGAAACAGGGAGAGGGAGAGGGAGAGGGAGGAGGAATGAAGGTGGTTTGTTGCTGTCTGTACCTTTGGGTTTGGTACGTTTGGATTCTCCCCTCAGGGGTTTCAAGTCCGGTGCACTGCAAGTAGAATCCATAATCCATAGTACATTCCACCCCATCAATCCACAATTTCTTTGCTTCTAATGAGGAAGTTGACAGCTGACTTCTCTCTCGTTCCCTCCCCAAACACGCAATGATCAACGAAAATTTGATTGTATTGTTTTGGTCTCTCTAAAAGTTTCTTTTCATTGTTTGTCGGTCTTATGCAGCCCAGCCCAGCCCAGCCCATAGACGATGAGGGGAATCTCTTGATGCAGTGTCTTAATCACCAGTCCCTCCCAAATAATATACTCCAGGGTAACATGCATAACTTCACACTTATCACCCAACTGTTGCTTGGAGATGAAGGGTAAAAAAAATAATAAGTCAGATAACGCCCTGAACCCTCTTTCCCTGGTGTATTCCACCAGGTTCTCAAAACGCCTGTTAACCCCCAGCCCATACTCAATAAACCCTGTAACCCAAAACCGCGCAGCCGCAGCAGCGCCTTGCCAGCAAAGCAAAGAAAGAAAATATCAAAACAGCCACCAACACCGATACATAACAAAGGAAAAGCAATTGCAGCAACAAAGTTTCGAAACATAGGAAAGACAGTAGTAAACGAGAGACATTCTTCTTGAACTCAATATCCCTCTAGATCGTGCGCGATCGGAAGTGGAAATGGTACCACTTGCGCCGGCGGGGCTCCAGCGAGCTTTTCTCGCTGCTGGAGCCGCCGCTGGAGGAGCCGCTGGAGCTGCCGGTGGAGCTCGTGGAGGCGCTCATCATCGACAGGCGCTTGCGCTCCTGCTTACGCTCGTGCTTGCGGCACTTGCGCTCCGACTTGAAGCCGCGCGTGGCATGCAGGTGGCAGAAGCATTGCATGTGGACCGTCTTGATGTCGAGGCTGGGGCAGCTGTCGCGGCTGCGCTCGGTGCAGTAGTGTTCGCCGGCGGCCTCCTCGCAGTGGCACCAGGAGTAGATGGTAAAGTATTGTTGACACATTTTGTTGTGTGATGTGATGTGTGGTTGTAGTGGGTGTATGTGGAAAGATATAGTTCGGCGGGTGGCAGGTAGTATAGGTAGGGTTCGTCTGCTTAGCCGGAGAAAGCCTGATAGTAGACAAACACCAACCCAGAATTGCTCGCAGAGGATCGACACCAAGGTTAAATATGTCAATCAAAGAAGAAATGGGCCCGAAGAAGACACCCAAAGGTTAAAAGCCGAGACGTTCGCCGGTAAGTGCCCAAATTGAGGGTGAATAATGAGTAATCGAGTCAGGCAGTCGGTGTGGACAGCCCTGAGAGGGGGAGGGGGAAAAAAGGTCGCACTGGGCGTTCTTCGTTCTTCCCGCGGCCTTCCGGGCGTTTCTCGGAAGGGAAAGTAAGAAAAAGTGACAGTTTTGCAGTGGAGGCGGAAGTGGATATCCCGTCCAATTTGTCGGAATCGAACTTTTTTTTTCAGAGAAGAGAGAGGGGTGGGGAGTTCTGTTCTTTGAATATTTTCCCGTGTTCTGTGGTTTGGGAGGGTCAATCTCGGATAGACGGCCGTGATATTCGTGTTGGTGGTTGACGAGGTGTTGAGTAGTAGTGGTGATAATGTGGGAGTGACACCAAGCAAGACGAAGTATATCGAGGATCTATACTTCCACCAGTCACCAGGACGAGTTGATGTGTGTGAAGACTGAGATAGAAGATAAGACCACGAGGGGAGGAGGGGGGAGGGGGAGGGGGATGAGAGGGGGGCAGGTTCGGTATATTATATTGTCTGTCAATCGTCTTGTTCTAAAGAGGAAGAGAAAGGAGTTCTAGCCACAAGGGGGAGAGAGAGAGGGAAAAGAGAGGATTATTATGGAGTAAAATTAGATCTCGAGTCAAGTCGGTCAGCGATTCGCAATGAAGCACGTCCCCCAATGGATCTTTTATTCCCTACTGAAAGAGATCGACCCGATGAAAAGGATGACTGAATGAATGAATGGATCATGACATGGGGGGATGGAAATGTGGAGGGGCAATGGTAATCCTCAACATCATATCATGGGTCATCAACATCATCATCATCATCATCATCATGGGGTTGACTGCTCAGCTGTTCTGCAGCAGTTAATGGATTGATTTGCTTTTGACGTCAGGTCCGAAGCGCTGCGGTGGAGTTACGGCGTTTAATTCCCATCAGCAGCAGCAGCAGTAGCAGCAGTCATTATGCCAACAGCCACTCACTCACTCACCCACGAGGTACATCTGAACCTCCGGCATACGACGGAAGAGAAAGTTAAAAAGAAAAAATAAAAGATGAAAAAGAAAGCCCCAAAGAAGCCATCAAGTTCATCGTTAGGTCGCATCATCCGGGGGAAGAGTATGTAATCGACTCTTTCGGGATGGGGGGGAAAACGACGGACCACCCACGGGAACTCCTTTTTTCCCTTCCCTTGGGACAGTACAGGTACAGTAACTAGTACATAGTAAGGGTCAAAGTAGGCGACAAAAGCCGCAAATGCCACCCCGAGTCTTGGCCGTGTGTCTGGACCGTCTGGATCTTCGATTCTTTCTAATCAGTAGGGAAGACGTGTGAAGAAAGGTCAATCGGAACCAGGGGGGGAGCACTACCGTACTGTACAATGAAGCATAATCTCAATAGAAAAAAAGCCGGCTGTTGTGAAGCGGAGGAAGTGAACATAAACATAAATTATTCAGATCTCATGTCAACTCAATTGAGCATTCCTGACAGTGGGATGCAGCATAAAATATCCGGTATCGGACCGAGCCAGGGGGGAGGGCAAGGGGGATGAATGAGTTGAGTAACAAAATGAAGCGAATTATGCATCAGGGGGAGACGTACATAGTAGTTCCCTTCCCCCTTCCCCCCCCCGGGGGCAGATCATTAAATTATCCATCCCTACTCCTCCGTACTTTTCCTCATAACGACGCGGACTCCGGTCTCTACGGAGTTACATTGACAGGACGGAGTAGAGGTACTGTAACTAACTATGTAGTAGCCTAGCTAACTAACTACTAACTACTCAAGAGAAGGGAGCCGACCCGACCCTTTATAGTAAATTACTCCCCCCCCCTCCCTTGGTCTAAGCGTGCATGCCATATGGGAATTTGATTAAACCCCCCTCAATTGTCAAACAGTAGTTCGACGGGAAGTTTCTCTAGCTTCTTTCTCGTGACAGCCACGAGGAAGGGAGAGACTAGTAGGCAAGTAGACTATTGATTGATTAATTTTGATTAGGTGGGAATGTCGCAACAGCCGAACAACCTTTACTCAGTAAGTCAAGCCCCATCAACCATCGGGAATAGTTGCCTGTGGAAATGAAATTGGACTGGAGCTCGAATGGAGAAAGAAAATTCAAACTAGCTTAACAAAATGGAAAAATGAAAAAAAAAATGGGGAGGCCTAGCCGGTGGGAACAATATTAATTACTTAGAATCTTAGACAGTTAGACTATTTGATCGCTAGGTGGAAATTGTGACAATTTGAGATACATTATGGGCCCCGAACGGAGGTCGAAGCCCGAACGGGCGGGTGTGGTTTGGTTTGGTTTGGCTGGGCTTCTAGTGCGATCGGAAGAGAGCAGGAGAAGATGGACTGACTGACTGACTGACTGACTGACTGACTGACTGACTGACTGACTGACTGACTGACTGACTCTCTTTTCACCAGTCACTCACTCACTCAACTCCATCCAACTCAGCTCAGCACACCCAATTCACACTTGAAAAAGAGGAACCGAACCAACAAAAGGTTCTGGATCGTGGTCGACAGAAGGTCTCTCACGTCATGACATCAGCAGATTTTCCGGGGAAAGGGCCTCTGCTACAGTGACCAAACCACATCATCACATCATTCATTGTGACAGTACATCCAATGCAGTCAACATCATCGTTCATGCCGATTTTTTTGCCTCTTGGGGCGAATAATGCATGGATGATGACGATGAACGGGTGATCGGGCATGACGAAAGCGGTCTTCAATTCCACCGTGGACAAACCCCCGGTTGTCTCCTTTGGGACCAGGTGGAGACCACACCCGCCTAATCAGGAATCTGTCGGAGCCGATCTCCCGGTGTCACGTGTAAGCTTGGACCCGAGCGGGCTTAGTCTGCTCCAATGATCGGCGTGCAGTGAAGCTGACTCAGCTGAGCTGATGGTCGGGTCGATCAGTCGGTGACCTAATTGGATGATCCCTCCACGAACCGTGGACGGATCCCTCGTCTGTAGCCCCAGAACAGCCTTAACTGGACACCTCGACAGACACTGCATCATCGATCAGATAACATCATCGTCTGTCGACATCATATCTGACTATCCTGAAGATAGAGTTTGGGAGGCGTCTCGACCTGATCAGGCTCAGCAACCGTGGACAGAGTCAATACCTATGAGTACATAGTACGATTCACAGGGCACATGAAGAAACAAACAAAAATCAGAAAAGTCAATAGGCATCAGCGTCATACCCGCCCAACTCCACTATGCGATTTACACAGACCGCCACAGCAACGCGCGTACACTTGCCCACATTACCCATCCGCTAACATCAGAAAATCGAAATTACTGCCCACATGCAAAAAGGTATATACGGTAGGTGGTCAAAAGGTCGGAACAAGTAAATACATAAATGCCTGCGGCCATCATGGATATGCCCGCGCCCCATCCCGGAGTGAGGAAGGACAACGGATCAGAAGTCAAGGGGAATAAGTACATTAGTTTTGATGAGGAGGAGTAATGGACCGAACACGGTCTTCCGATGCTCTCTCTCCCTACAATACTCCTTGTGACAGCCGTTGCTCCATCTGCTTGGCCAGTGCTTGCGGCACGGCTTCTTGCGTGGCTCGGATAGTGACTCGGTACATCTGTAATTGGTCAGTCGGTCATCGATCTTTTCTCGTTGAAGCAAAATCTAAATCTTACCTTCCGCTCATAGTTGGGCTCCAGTCGCAGAAGACAGCCCGTCTTCCCGTTGACAAACTGATAAACAGCGCAACCCACAATGTTCTTCCCGTTTGGATCGACGTTGTCCAGGATCTTCCAGCCAAATCCTTCCACCACCCGCCGAGTGAACGCTTCGCTAACATCCTTGGCCCGCGCCGCCACCGCAAAGGTATTTTGCGCCTCCAGCGGTCCTCCGCCAATCTGCCGCCACCGTTTGAAAAAGTCTTCGGCTGACAGCGCCGATGGCTCCATGAACCGATGCATCAGGATCGGCAGCTGCAGCGTATAAGCCTGGAGTGCGCCAGCAAGGTACGAGATGCGGATCGTGGGCGCGTCCGTGAATGGCCCATGCGATTCCACCAGCAGCGTTTGCTGCGTTTGCCCCGCCGCCGGCACAGACGGCTCGGGCAGACTTTTCGTGTCAAGCTTCAGATTCGGGGCAGCGCGGTTGTCCAATGTGGTCGTGAGGGACCCGACCGGGTACGAGGACTTGTTGGAAAGGTAGATCTTCACCACTCCCATATGACCCCGGTATTCCGATCGCAGGCCGACCTGGATCTGCGCATCCTCAAAGAGAACGCCTTCGTCGTTGAAGTATAGTTTATTGTAGCCGACATCCCAGTCGGGCGTCAGATGGGCTGCGCTGGCCATGTTAGGAGCAGCAGAGGCGCTGAGATCCAGCCCGGCCAAGTCACCAGACGCACTGGGCCCTGTAGCTGCTCCGTTCGTTCCCGTCTTGGTGCCGTTGACAATCGTGGTGAAACTGCGCTTCAGTCCCGTGTTTTGCGCCATCAGTACCTCCTTCTGGTCCGCATTGGCGTCCTTGCCGCCCACCACCCATGTCTTCTTCTCCGTCGTGCCCGCGGTTTTCTGGTGGAGACGGGAGAGCAGGATCGACGCGCGTTCGGAGAAGGGGGGCATCTCATCGCAGACTGTCCGGAGCAGATCGTCCGTGGGAAGCGTCGCCAGCGACAGATACTCAAAAGCACGCTGCTGTAATTCCGAGTCGGGAGAATGGCTGTACAGGCGGAAAATGTGCAGAAGTTGGGGTTTGATTTCGGGGAAGAGGTTGACAAACTTGATGAATGATGACAGAATCATGGCCCGCGTGTTGTCGGTACTGGTGATCATCTTCGCCTGCAGTGCCAAAAACTGCTCGATCGGGCTCGAACCCTGACTGTCCGCAATCAGGTGGCCGAATTCCCCCAAAACATAACAGCCGATCTTCACCAAGCTCTCGTGGCAGTCGGTCTTCAGATATCCAAGGAGGTTGTGTGCCGCATAAGCCTGCAGTTCTTCGTTGTTGGTCACGATCTGAATCACTCGCTGCCATACCTCCTCGTTGACGTGGTCACCAGCCAACGACAACAGCTTGAGTGTCATGTCGATGTACCACTGGGCATCCGTGGCGTATTTCTCCGTGAGAATGGCTACTTTCAAGACCATTTCCTCCCGGATCGCATAGTCGGCCGTCTGGAGATAGCGTAACAGCTCGTTCACGATTGGGCCAGCATTAGTCGTGTCGCACATACTGTAGACTAGATCCAGACCCTTCCGCCGAACACTGATGTCCCGATCTCGCAAGGAGCCAAGAATGATACTCTGGTGCTTCTTAATGGGATCGAGGGTTTCCGCCCGAGCAGCGAAGTGCGTCAATGCTTCCAACCCCAGATAGCGAACGTTTGTCTCGCGAGACTGGATGTACTTCCCTAACCGAGCAGAGATCTGTAGCATCAGGCTATGCTCGGTGTCCAGGTGTATGAGAAGGTTGATGGCTTCGAAGAGGACCGCATTCTGGGCGTTATTTTGCTGAACGTTCTTGGGCGCATCCATAGCGGAGTTCATGATCTGCTGCAGAGATTCACGAATGATCTCACGGACATGGGTGTCGCCTGGAGTTTGGTTAGCATGAAGGGACCACGCAGCGGATCGTTGGGATGATCACATACCTGAGGGAGGGTAGTACTGCAGCAAGCGCAGCAGTTTCACTTGGATCCACGGACATGGCACACGATAGTAGAGATAGTCGGGCGCAATATCATTGTCAACCACAATCCTTTTCAATCTGAAAGCAGCCTTGACATAACACCCAGCGTATTCCTCCGGCTTGTCCTGGGCCAGCGCCATGACCAGCGAAGTCACCGACAAAGTGACACCCATGTCGGGATCATCCATGATGGAGATTATGCGTTCCGCCCACTCGGCCTGTACAATGCCCGGGTACTTGCGATACAATCGGAGAAGGGTAAGAGCGGCCTTCTTCTTTACGAAGGCTTTGGAGGTCCTAGTCACGAGAATCAGCAACCCCGATTCGAAAATCACCAAGAATCCCTTTTCCTGCCCTGAACCACCAAGCAGTCAACTTACGGCGAAATCAGTAGCCGGTGCACATCCGTCGAGAGCGCCTCGCCCATCTCCCGTCCACCGACATTGGCCACCGCATGGAGCGCCAGACAGTTGTTCAGCTCATTGTGGTCCAGCAGGTCTTTCCGAATACTGTTGACCACCAGGTGCAGGAGTTCATGCTGCTCGTGCAGGAACAAAGTCACAGCCAGATAACCAATCTGCTTCTCGGAGTATTTGGTGGAGGAGATGAGGTTGACGGCTTCCAGGTGGCCGAAGTCGACGTCGTAGCCCTGGATGTAGACGTAGAGCAGCTTGCAGACGTATTTCTTCTTCTGGTACCCATTCAAGCTACCTCCCTTGAACTTCTGGCGGATGTTGGCCAATTCTTTGTTTACCCGCTTCTCCTCCAGCTCGCGCGCTCGTGCGTTTCGCAGGTCGGCGATGAACTGGACCAAACCCCGCATGGACGACATGGTGGGCGACAGAGCACGGGGCGAGTATTATTAGGAATAAGTGATTATAATGAGCGATGCGTGTGGATTAAATGTGCGAAGGTTAGTTAGCAATGCTGGCTTGGCTGCAAGAAGAAGACGAAAAAAAAGAAAGATTGAGACCAGTCGCTCCGTCGGTCGGTCTCGGGTCGAACGGGGTGGGCGGATTCACTGCGTCCGTTGCACGCAGTCGCCGCTGCGTGAGGGAACAATGCGGGGAGGTTCGTCGGTGTGATTTGTGATTATCCGCTCAGTATCTTCGGAGCGCATGGAACATGGCGTGGAATACCGGTGTGGAGAGCGAGCGGAGATCTGAAGGAGGAGAGGAGGAGGAGAAGGAGGGGGGCCGTATTCTGATGCGCACCAGGGGGGGTTGACAGTCGAGTCGCAAACTGGCCGAAGGAATGGAATGGTCGGGAGATAAGTAGAAACAGTAGATAGTCGTAGCAATTGGAGACACGATTGAATCGAGATTCTCTCGCTGGCTTGAAAGGAATGGTAGAAGAGAGAGAGGAGGGGAGAAAAGGTGAAGTTGTCAATCGGGGATCTTGCAGCAGCAGCAGTAGCAGCAACAGCAAGCAGCAGCAATGAGAGAGACCCTCGTCAGGAGGGAACCAAGCCGGGCCTCAGCCACTTCCGCGGCCGATCCGGCTGCGGAAAGCTGGAGGAATATTAATGCGCTGTGGCGGTGCATGCAGGGATCTTCATCGTGTGGTGATGTTAGCCAATGCTTCTAGAATTCTAGAAACATAATGGAGCCGCCTCATCTCACATTAATTTAAATTCTGACACCCAGCATCTATGATAGCCTATGAGACATCCAAATTGACTCTGCTGTATCACCATACACCCCACCTCCCGGTCCTACAGGAAGGCACTGCTGTACCGTAGGACCTATCTACTTGATGCACGAACCGTTGTGACTAGTGATTCCGGATGCAACCTTATCGGATCCCAGGGTCTGCATCCCGGCGGGGACAAGGGAGATTTTCACACCCAGATGGGCAGCCCCCCTCCCTTCCTCGGCATTTGTGCCCGTGTTCCCCCTGCCACTACGTATGATGGTCCGTGTGGATCATACTTATACTCTACTCAGTTGCTCTTCTTATCCTTATTAGTCGCTTCAACCCTTTCAAGAGCCATTTTGCATGCAGCCTACTAGCTGAGCGAGCATGAGGCGAACCCTACGTAACGCAGAAACAGAAATGAACTTCAAATAGTAATGTTTCACAGGACTCTAGCCCATTAATACCATTGTAATACAATCTCATCCTTGAGAAAAGTACCCCATGCTACTACTGCCACTACCACCCTTCATAATATAGAAAAAAAAAGCCCCCCGGTCAAACTCCAGAATGAAAACTCCAGATCCCCAAACCGTGCCATGCTATGAAAAAAAAAGGCCCACCGAAGAAAGAAAAAGGCAAACTTGAAAGATCGACTCAATCAAAAGGTCAAAAGATCAAGCGCGGGTGGTGAAGTCAATCTCGTTGCTCTCAGCGGCAGCGTCCACAGCAGCGGCCTTTTCACAGGTGCAAGAAGCTGAGAGAACCCAAGTTAGCTGATGTTTCTGTAACCGCTTCTAGGTTGGCTCTGGACTTACTGGAAGATCTCTGTCCGCAGGGGCAAGCATCGCCCGAAACGGGGGTGTTTTCGCTGGGAGCACGCTCGCAGGTGCATTGGCCGGCAGGGCGGGCTCCTGATGCCATGGGGTTAGTTTCAAAAGAAAAGATACGGACTGTTGGGGGGGGAAAACATACTGCAAGAGCAGCGAGGCCCAGAGACGGTGTTCTCGGACGAGGCCTTGTTGCAGGTGCAGTGGAGGGCGTTCTCCTTGCCGCAGGAGCACTTGGCCTGAGCAGCGCAGACGCAGCTACCGTCGCCGGAGGTCTTGCAGCAGGTGGAAGCAGGGTTGACCATTTTGACTGTTGGTGGTGGGAGTTGAGGGTCGAGAAGACAAAAGACAAAAGATGGGTTTTCGAGTGAAAGTGGTAGAGAAAGTGAGGATGGACCAATGACGTCACTGGTAGGTGTCGGTTGGATTGATTTGAGGTTTGAGGCACGAAGGCGCGATCGCAGTATCCCGAGACGAAGTAATCGTTGAGTGGGAGATTGGTAGCTTGAGTATTTGAGTATTTGAGGCTCTCGATGATGATGGTTGAATAATTCGTTGCAGGGAAACAACAGTATTTATATTCAACGTCGTTCAACTTTGTAGATTCCATGATTGGCAATCAGCGGCGGCTGATTGGTTGACTGACAAGAGCCTCCGTGAAGTCCCGTGACCGCAGTTGCATTCGTCGATCTTTGATTCGACCGTCTACCACGGAGACGAAAATCAATCCAGCAATACAGAATGCTTGGGTTTGTAATACTCGCAAGCTGGTAGGCATTTGCCACTTAGTGACCTTCAGAACGGATTCCAGTTGCTTTTACATCTCTTTTTATTGGATGACTATAATGTATCTTGAACCTGCCAGCCTGGAGGCTTTATGGCCCTGCTCATTCCTACGGCTGTCATTGGACCAAACAATTAAGGCGATCTGTAAATGCCACTGCATCTGCATGGCTGCAGCATTATTATACATTACTAAGTACGTAGTGCTCAGAAGTAAGCAACCTGGCTCCACATTAATATCAGGCCACTGGTGCATGACGTACTCAGCACCTACATGTACTCGTGTAATCTGCCGCGCCCAGAGTCGTCTCAGCTCAATGTGATGGAGTGCGGACTGCGCAGTTGTGCAAGTAGTAGGCAAGAATTGATGGCAATCCAGATGATTAGACTAGAATTTAAGAGTTGTATACATACAAAACCCAGGGAAGCCACCCAAATCCAAGACAAAGGCACGACGCATGCTAAAATGAAACAATAAATAGACGCAACAGGGCTAAACGGAAGGCCCTCGCGAATAAAATCAGAAAAAAAGCAGTTTTGACGCCATGGAACGTCCGGTCCCAGCTTGGAGAAATGGGATCCGGAATGCAGTGATGAAAACCCCCTTTTCCTTTAAAATCTTTTTGTGACGAAACCAAAACAGTAGCAAGCCAAGACGATGATTAGGATCAAGACAATATGTATATATTCCGGCAGGCGAACGAAATGCCGATATGTGCAATGCACGCCAGAGGTAATGGGAGGAGCGGTTGAAGGCAATGATTAAATAGGTATGAAGAACAAGGCAGATTATAGGGCGGCGTATGTTGAGGGAAGGATAGAAAGGATGTTTCTGAGTAGGCCATTGGTCATTGGGTTAGAGGTAGTTGGCGTATTCAAAGGTCTGGTTGCCAAATTTGGCCCTCAAAGGATCGATCAATTGCGGAGGATTGTTGATTCGGTCTTCTGCAGTGCTGACCACCGGTCCTTGGGAAACACTATTGGCTTCCGACGGAAAGGAGGCGGGAAGGCTCATGCTGGAGGCGTTGGCTTGGCTATATGGCATGGCGGCATTCATGTGGTATTGGTGGTGATCATATGAATAGGGTCGGTAGTCGGGCGCCTCCGAGACCGGGATGGATTGCATGGCGGGTATCTGCCTCCCATGTTGTTGCATATGTGCATTCATGTCAATGCCGCCAAAGGCCTTGGGTGCCGGCATGGCTAATGGGGATTGGTAGTTGTGCGCCTGCTGGTCTATCGCCATCCTCGTTAGTCTTAATGCCCGATAATGTCATGGGAAAATGTGGTTGGCAAGAACTTACTATGCCCATCGACGTTATAGTGAGCTTGTTGATCCGGCTGTCCAGTCGGGGATACAGAGCCCTCGATGGCTCGCTGTTGATCATACCCTACCACCATACCGTTCGCAGACCTATTGATACCATATTCCAAGGGGCGACGACTGTATGCCATGCTCGGATGAACCAGCGGCTCGAGCCCGGGCCTTGAATATCGCCCCGGGTAGTGAAGTCCATTGTGAAACGAAGCCTCGGAAAAGCTGCTGGATCTGGGGAACGGGAACGCGCCGCGGTTATGTCGGTTCATGTCGGTAAGAGGTGTATGAGCGCCCCGATTCGCCATGGCGGCTGTATGTGTATAATCATTAAAGTGTCGATCCGGTCCAGCTGAAGGGAATCCATTCGTTGTCGAGGCTGAGCTGAGGGGCGAGATCACATAATCGTCATCATTCCGAGGAATCCCATCGGTAAGCAGCATCTTCAAATCGTTAGTATCCTTGCCATAAGTGAATGTAAATTGGGGAGACGCAACAGGTGCCTCTGAGGTTGTTCTGTGATCAAATGGCGTCCGTAGCACTTGGGTTGTATCGAAGTCATCGGGCAATGCTCTGGATTTAAGGATTCGCTCCCGGTCGTTGCTTGTGAGTCGCTTGAGCTTCGCCCGTCTGCATGGAAAGTGTCAGCCTCACAGCTGCATGATGATGAAGCTCAGGTGTGGCGGTGTATACCTGTTCTGGAACCAAACTTGAACTTGCCGTGGCGTCAAGCCGGGAATCTCTTTGGACAACCGTTCTCGGTGGGCAGCATCAGGGTGTGCTTGACGGGTGAATTCACTCATCAGGAAGCGGGTTTGATTATGGGTCAGTCTGCCGTTTTTTGTTAGCAACACGGCGAATACGGTCCATATCTATGACTTGCGCACCGGAATCTCTTCATCTTCTTCTTGTCGTGCTTATCTGGTGACTGTTTCTTGTCGCCATTTTCGGACGACGCAGCTCCTTCATCCGATGAAACCATTGCGGCATCTCCATCTCCTTTCTCCTTGTCATGCGCTTCTTCAAGTTTGAACTCGGGTGTTGTCTCTTTTGCATTCTGTGAAACGTCGGCTCCTTCAGCATGTGGATGGTGAGGTCCGCTCTGGTTGATTTTCTCCTGTCCCATCTGAACCAATGACTCCGTTTCCGTGCCTGTGTTGTGGTTCAATAAGCTATTCTGGGGATTTGTGCCCCCAATGGGCCTAACTGGGCTAGATGAGCCGGCGGCAGCAATAGCTGGAAAGGCATTCTCAGCCTTAATCACAGCGGGCTGCATGTCGGCCGAAGGCGTCTTTGTAGGCTCGCCTTCTCTCTCCCACGGCCCGGGCAATTTAGACGGGATAGCCCTCGGCTTCGGTACGATTTGCTCGCTGCTATTCCAAGAAGCTGTCGACCAATGGTTGGTGATGCCGGGAAGATGTGAAGTAGAAGGTGGTGATAATGAGGACAACCAAACACAGGGCCCGCTGATTGACATGGTAGCAGAGGATGTGGACCAGTATAGAAAGAACAATTGTTATGCTGAAGGTGGAAGAGATCAGGCGTACTGCAGCTGCGAACGCAGATATAGACTGACTCTAACTTGCAAACCAGATGCCAGACCAGGGATGACAGAGTGGGTCTGCACGAGCTGTCGGGGCGCTTGCTGAAGATGCACCGGATCTCCGAGGACGGGTCGAAGACACGAAGGAAAAGAGGAGTAAATGGCAAGTTCTTTGCGTGTGAGACGAAGCAAGTAGTCGACACACAGCAGCGTGGACTTTGGACGGCGGGCAAGCGACAGCAAATGAACGACAGCGCTACCCTAGTAATGATCTCCCCCTTGACTTACACTCCGGGGCGATAAAGGAGATTCTCGGCCTCCGCTAGGACCACTGACGAACGGCAAGAAATGAAAGGTCGATCCCTTTGCTGGGTCCAGGATTCAACCGGAGAGGGGGTGGATTGTTACCGGACAGTGGGTAGGAAGGTTATAGAAGAGATTAAACGGTGCCTAGCCCAAGCGGGTAACGAATGCACGATCTCGGGCAGTGGAAATAACGGAGGACGTTAAAATGCAGGCCCTGATCACCTCCGGCCAGTGCGAGAGATCCACTTTCAGGTTGGCCACCGCAAGCACAAAACCGTGCTAGTAATGTAGCAGCGCACACGATGGGCAAGCTCCTCCCACGAACGAGTGAGGGGAGGCTGAGAGGACGAAAGAGAGAGGAGGAGGAGGGGGAAGGGGGGCAAGGGACGAATAATCTTCAGGTCCTCGAACAGGGTGTTATAACAAACGATAGGTAGATGCCAGCTGCTAACGCGGAGAACAAACTCAAAAGAATGAGGGAAATGAAACTAAGACCGACAGGAACGAGCGTAAGAAAACAGGAAATTAAATGGAACGGGCCACAGCTTGAAGGTTCGGTACACGGAGATCCCAGACCATCCTACGATTGTCAACTAAACCTCCGGAGGCGTAGCGCCTACTGAGCCATCCAGGATCAGGACCGGAGTGACAATGAAGGTGGGAACGAGGGTGAAAGTGGGAATTCAAAACGGGCTGGGGAGAACCGGGGGATGCAACCACAATGGATAGGAGGAGGATCCAATTCAGGCTGGCTGCTGTCGACGTCGTAGTATCTTCGGGGGGGTGGTCGACTAGTCAGCAACCACAGCAATGACAGCAGCAGTTGTGACCGTAGTTGGAACACTTGCTGGAGAACGTCGTCATCAGACACGGTCCTGACCAACGAAGGAGCCTGAGGTGACCACGCTCCGAGGCACCAATGGCCCGTAAAATAGCACACCGCAAGACAAGCGTTGACTGGGGTTTCGGCTTACAAGTGAGGAGCAGGAGTTCGATATCAATGAAGGCAATACGTGGTGGGAGGTGGTGCAGTGTCTATGAGAATAGAATTGGTAGATGGGAATGGCCCAGAGTGTAGAAAGTATCCATGTAGAGTGCCAAATTTGACGGACACTGTAAAGTGGCAAGGTGAAGGGTCGAGCCGGGGACGTTCCCTACAGGCGTGATATGCGGAAGAGGGACTGACAGCCCTGCGGACGAATGATGCAGAGGATCATGGAAGAGCGTGGCTCTTCGGGTCCAACGGGAGAGCAAATCGCCCCAGAGCTCACGCAGGGTATGAATGAGGCGGGAAGAACAATCGTCAACCGTTCCTACGCCATTCATGTCCCGCGCTCCTCATTGATTGTAAAATTTCCGACGTGGAACCGGCGCCCGCAACCTCTGCATCGCATCGTGCGGGTCATTCAGAGTCTGGGACAGGTCGTTCCTAGTGCCGAATCCACCGGTCATCCTGGTCGTCAGCCAACCGCAGTAGGAAAGGGTCGAATAGACCCTGGTTATCGACCCGGCTCATCCAGTCACAGTGTGCCGTCTTCTCCTTGCGACAGTAAAGATGGCAATCGGCGGTACGCACCATGTGGAAGTGCTGCCGACAGCACTAGTCGGGCGTTGGCTGCTCCATAACCCGCCGGACACCGGGCATGGATCGACTCATCGAGACACAGGAAGGGAGGGGGGTCATTAGGTTAGGGAGCCACTTGGCGATATCCCCACCCACCTTAGCCACCATGGCACCAACAGTCCGGTGGTGTGAAACAATTGACACGTGAGAAACAGCGAGAGGGGGCAACCAGCAAGCAACCTGAG